AAAGCAACATTTTCGATAGATTTTTGAGGTGCATCTGTGATTCTACATTTTAAAGTTGCAACCTTATATAAACTTTTCCCTAATATAAAATCGGCAACTGAATATACATGGATTCACATCTTCCAGGCAATCCAAACATTGGACATGTATATTCCATGTTTCTTATCAGGTGCTATCCAAACAACAGACACCCTTATCACAGAGACAGACCAATTCCAGGATAACCCAATTCCAGGATAGGCTTCTCCAAGTACCCAAACTGGCCCCAAGGGTATGTGGTAATTGTGCACCTAACCACCTAGCTTATGTAGCATGATTTGATTAGCCCCACATACTCTTTTAAAATGGAGGGAAGTTTTGAATTTTGATTTTTTGCTGGAATTTTGACAAATTACCTCAAGGGTATGCCCTCCAACTTGGCTTTTAGTTCAATTAAATATAAAGAGCATGGGTATTTAAATACAAGCATAATTGAAGTGAATTATAATTACTAAAATATAGAGAATAAAGATGTTAAATCCATAGTACACATCAAGATGGAATGATGGTGAATAATGAGTTAAGATCAAGCCTCTCTTTGTAGCCATGGAAGTTGGACTTCAATGGCCAAGATTAAAACACATCGAAAGCATCTCTACACTCAACCTAATAAATACTCCTTTTAATCTCTACATTTTAGTTCACCCATTCTCTCACTAGAGTGGTACACCTCTCTCTCTCTCTCTCTCTCACAGCCCTCTGTGTGGCATGCCCTAGGCTATCTCCTCTCCGTTTCTTTCTCTTCCAAAGTGTATGAAGGTGATGTGAGAGAAAGCTCCAAAGAAACTCCATGAAGGCTCTATTAATGGTGATTCAAATATCAAAGTCAAGTTATGGATGATCTAGTTTTACGGCCTTCATTAATTGAGTAAGATCTCATCAATTTTCTTTTATTCTAGTTAATTCACCTTTCTGTAAATTCTTAATTACAGCAAGTGTCCTTCATCCATTTGATGCTAGATCATTGATTTCTTTGATCTACTTTGATTTCCTTTGATACATATTGTGGAAGGCATCATCCATGCACACATTGATCTAATTTCCATGTGATTTTAGGAGTATTTTTTATTGATATTTCAGAGATTTTTGCAACCAAATCAATCGATTATATCTTCATTTTGATGTCTCAAGTTGTTGTTTTCATAAGAGGAGATCATGCCGATTTTATGTGGCCCGATTTATGAGCTGTATTAATTGTTTTTGTGTTTTAAGAGACGATTTCTCCCATGGTTTTTCCACTTGTTTTGATCACTTGATCACTACAAATTCTTCCATGTTTTAAGTGTATATCAACAAATTACTTAACTCTCTAATTGACTATTTTGATGAAATTTTAAAATGAAGATTTATGTCTTGATCCCCATGCTCATGATATTGATTTTCTCACCAAATTGAGGGTGATTTGTACATCCTTTTTCCTCCCACCTAATCTCATGGTTTTGAATCCATTTTGTTAAGCCCTCTCATATACTAGAATGTGCCATGAAAGTGTAGATGATATAATGCTTAAAGGCTTCCTTATTTGAAGTTACCATTGGCCTATGTGATTAAGTCATCAGAAGCCCTCCCCATAGCTAAGACCCAAGGCTGTAAACTGAGAAAAATGAGCTCTATGATCAAATAGCCATGATCAAATTCTTTGCACCCATATAATACTTGTTTTCGGTGGAGAAAGGATTTTGAATTCGAAGTGTTTTTGCCCAGTTTACAGCCGTAGGTATTAGCTATGTACAATGGGAGGGCATTTGATGGCGTCAACACAAGGCCAATAGCAACATCAAATAAAAAAGCTTTTAAGCATCATATCATTTACACTTTCATAGCACACTCTAACATATGAGAGAGCTTAACAAATTCAAAATTGAGATAAAAGTGGGAAAAAAGAAACTACAAATCACTCTCAATTTGGTGAGAAATTCAATAGCATGAGCATGAAAATTTGAACATAAATTGTTCTTTCAAAATTTCACCAAAATAATCAACTAGAGAATGAATCAATTGGCTGATTTAGATCAAATTTACAAAAAAAATTCAGCCAATAAAATCTCATGAAAACACTGTAAATAATCTCTCATAACTGGAATCGATAAATTAGGAATTAAGATGAAATTAGATCACCATACTCTGCTGTAATTGCGGTTTTACATCCATCAAAAAGCTTCACGAAAAAGCTTGATGATGATCTCTTCAAGAAATTAAACATCCATAGAGCTAGGGGTTTCATTTAATCTTGAGATCAAGCTCCAATGGAGCTTAAATGGAGGACTCTCTCACTAGATCCTCACATCTCTCTTACTTTCTCTCTCTGAGAAGTTTCTTTCATGAAGAAGATACAAAGGTTAGGCGTGCTACTCATGGGAGAAGTTTCTCTCTCTAAAACAAGGAGGTAGAGAGAGATCAAAAGATATGAGGGGCATACCTTACAATACAAGAGAAGAAAGAGAGAGAGTGAAGAAATAATAAGGGCACACCACATTTTTGAGAGCTTTTTCTCTCTTTGAAAACTTTAATATGGAAGAGAGAATAAATAGGAGGGACAAGCCCCTTATAAAGAGAAAGAGGAACTTTCAATTGTATTGGAATGAGAGATTAAAGGGGTATTTGTAGTGATGAGTGTAGAGATACTTTAGATGTGTGCTTTAATCTTGGCCATTGAAGTCTAACATCAATGGCTACAAAGAGAAGCATGATCCTAGTCAACCATCTACCATCATGTCATCTCGATGTGTGGTAAGGATTTAAACACATTTATCTTCCTTTTTTTAATAACCATAATTCACTCCAATTTCCCTTGTATAAAAAAACCCTTGCTCTTATCATATTATTGAACTTAAAACCAAGTTGGTGGCATATCCTTGCGGTAATTTGACAAAAATTCTAGCAAAAATAAAATTTGACACTTCCCTCCATTTTATAAGAACATGTGGGGCTAATCAAATCATGCCACATGAGCAAGGTTGTTAAGTACACTATTACCACATACCCTTAGGGTTTCAATTCTAATTTCAAACCCTATGCCCCTTCTAGAAGGACTCAAATATGTGCACAAACCACTTGCTCTGCACATTTAATGTGCCAAAATTAATTTTCTCAAATTCAAAAATTGTACAAAATCCAATATTACAAAATGCTCCCCATCATAATAAATTACGCAATATGAACCATGGGGAATGATGTCATCCCCACGTCATCACCAAGTCAGGTTTATGCCAAGGCTCCCATGGTCCCATGTGGACACCCATTGGCCATTTGGGTGGCCTGTGTGGGTCCTAGGGGGTATGCCCTTAATCGTCATTTTGCAAAAAATAATTCCCAAAAAACACATTTTCTTGTTCAAAAAATCCAGAAAAACGCTCAAAAATCCTCAAAAAATTCTTTTAATTGTTTCCACCATAATAAATCATTTTAACACTGTCTAAACATATTTCGATGGGAAATTAGGATCCTATGGAGTTGAATTAAAAATTGGAGCACTCCACTCAACTAGACCCGAAATCGAAACCACATTCTCAGTGTGAACCAACAAACTCATGACCCACAATGCATAATCAGGGGCGCATGATATAGGTTATCAAAGTCAAACCAATGAGTGACCCTGAATTCCCAAGTACGAGTGGATTTCAGGTGCACCCGCTAGAGGACATGCACACACAAGGTGCAGGGGTTCCTCTCTTGACACATGTGCATACCTCTCTTCAATAGATCCCTGGAAGAGTCTGCTACCCAAACTTTGCAGTTGTTTATGCACATGCTATGAAAAGGCTCTAAGAGTCAGGGATTTAGGCCAATTCCCTCTGTTGTCCCTAACCTTTCCATACATGGCTAATCATCGAGCTCATATCATCATACACATAAAATCACATCGCCTTGGCCCAATCATCCAGTCATGAGGCCTAATCGAGCTCAATAACGTTAACAATAACCAATCTTGACTAGAGGCAACATTGAAACCTCTCGGTGTCTCTCATATATACACCAATTCTCCTAATGATTGTCCTAGGGTTTCCATGACTCTTGGTCACAATGCGCAAAATCCTAGAGTCATGCCCCTGTTTTCACTCCCACTGTAGTCAAGAGCTAGAACATGTCAATGCTAAAGGCCTTAAAAGGCCATAACTCCAACATGTAGAATATAAATGCCCATATAATGAGAAAAGGATGTAACAAACAAATGATAAAGAAATAAAACACAGATTGAGCAAGAATAAACAAAATACAATGCTGACCCCTCACACAAATGACCATTTAATGCATAGAGATGACACAGTTGACTACAGAAGCTATAAAAAGTGCTGCATCACCAACTCTTATCATAAAACTCTTCTAAAACTATATTTGCAGCTTTCCCATAGGAATACAACATGAACCTAGAAAAGTGAGACAGTCATAACCTATATCAAACTAGGCCTAATTTAGTTATATTCAATAAAATACGGATGTAGCACATGCAAGCCCATGAATATACATCTACAATATTTATCATGCAATTAGGCATCAGATACAATGACATTTAAAGCTGTTGCCAACCTCTTTTTATAGTCATGAGTAGGTACTAACTCTGCGGCTTGACATCCAAATGAGCAAGATTCAGCTCCAAGCAAAATTAGAAACAAAATGAACATAAAATACTAAAGTAGAAAACAAATAATATACGTTCGATGGAAATTTTCATACCTGAAGGGAAATAACTTCTGGAAAGTCTTTTTCCAATGCATATTGCATGTATCTAGGATTTGCCCCACGCCATTCATAGATTGCCTAGTTAGCACCATGTGCAATAAATATCTTGATATACCACCATGCCAAAGAAAAAGGTGATGTAAAAAATTGAAAAATTATCCAGCTAATAAGGTAGATGATTTGTTGAATACATGTTTACAGCAGGTTGTAGTATTGTATAGAAGTCCATAGAGGTAGTAATGTACTTGTGTCCAATCACAGGCATAGTTTAGAGGCAATTACACAGTTGTCCTCATTTAACTTGTGATGGTTATATCAGTATTTCAACCAGCAGCTTAGTCATATCTAAAAAGTAACATTTTCCTCATATGGCATTACTGATTGGCATCAAAGAACTCAAGGTTTCAGAGAAAGAAGTGGTTAAAGAATCTCAATTTGTGAGATCTGGCCTCAATGTCAATCCCATAATTATGAGTAGGAAAACAAATATCACTATTTTTGGGGATCAAAAGGCCTCTTTATGTTCTCCAAAATACAGATGAATAAGGACACTATAGGTATTGATCATTCTATAACGGACGCCAACAAACATACCCAATGTACATCCACCTAAGAGTGACTGCCAATGAAGGTTAGCTGTCACACAGATCTAAAATGACCAAAAACTTACATGATTTACAAGGTTCACCATACAATAAACAATAGAAGACAATTTCAAGCAATGCCTCAATCAAGAGGTTATTATTCACTTAGAAGAGGAAAATTGCATAGTGAAAATGTAGTCAAAGTCACCATGCCCTTCACCAAAAGACAATATTTCTGCATATTGGATAAGAACTTTCCAAAGCCTATAGAAGGTAACTTGAAAGAGGACAGAGGGCTACTTTTATTTCTCTTTTGGTTAGTCCCATGGGAGTCCATAGAAAGGTTCTCTATAAAAAATTGTCATACAGTGCTACTAGGAAGACAAGGCATCCCCTTCTAATAGGAATGAGATTATCAGTGCACTGGATGGTACCAAAATATTAAAATTTTATTTTAATGAGAATCGCTGAATAACCAAAAATAACACATCTGAACTTCTGAGACTGTGCATGGAAAATTACATGCCAAGGTCTTTTTCCATGAAGCTCATCACTCAAATAAGCACTTAATGTGTTGCATATTTCTAATTTGAAATCAGTATAAGGGTTTTAGAAGGAATAATACTTATGACCTTTAATACAAAACATACTTTTGCTTATGGTACTTTACTCACCATAAGCACTTGCCATATCAACGTAGATTTCTGCAAGAAATCTTAGGCTAAACCCTAAAGAGGCAGCATTCCCAGGGCTTTGGAAACAATATACATAAACTTAATTTTAGGATTCAAATCCCCAACAACAATATGGCTTAATTTTAGGATTCAAATCCCCAACAACAATATGGCTTAATTTTAGGATTCAAATCCCCAACAGCAATATGATAATACGAGTCTATATTTTCTTATGTGCTCAAAGTTGGGCAAAATCCTTACAGGAACAAGAGCGAAAAAAAATTTCTCACTGATGTATTCCTTGTTTTCATCAACCAAATTACCAATTTTTATGATGATGGTCAACAACTCATACCGCTAAATCTTCAGGTTAAAGTGATTTAAACCTTTATATGAAATTTTGAATCAATCTTCATGCAAAATTCCAAAATAGTCAAAATGACTTGATACAAAAGTATAAACAAATACCCAATAGGATCTAACCCTATTTACCCCAAAAAAATAAAAATAAAGGTGGTCTAAGCCTTGGAAGAAATTGAAATCATGCTAAACAAATGTGATTTACAAAAAACTAAAGAATAAAAATAAAATTAAATAAATTTGAATCACACCATACACTGAACCCTGTATAACAAAACAAAGGTCTTCACTATAAAGTCAGCACATTGGCCTCCAACAAAAGCTAAGTGGCCATTTCTCTTTCATTCCCAAATCCTAAGCAAACCAGGAGTGTCTCAAAAGAATCAGACTTCCAAGCTTAAGAAACAGCATGGAGCCGATGGAAATAAAAAGAAAGACAATACTGACTTGATCTGAATCGCCAACAACAAAAAGGCTGCCATTTCCTGATGCTAGAAGTCGTATTATCTCATATTGAACCTGCATATGTGAAGTGTTGCAAAATTTAAATCTAAAGAAAGTTGCCCCTACCAGTGTTCAAAACACAGCACAAGAAGAACAAGCTTTTCAGGTACTATGAAGTTATAACAAGGAAAATTCATACATCATCAATATCCTGAAATTCGTCGACAAGCACATGAGACCATTGTTGTCGATATTTCTGAAAATAGAAACATTACCATATCAGTCAAATATTCAAAAAACAAATGGATAAAGTCAGGAAGCTATTGCACATACAAATATTGAAATCACATGTACAATATTGAATTATGGCTAGCAGTTATTAATTGAAATTGTGCCAAAATTTAAATAAAATTTAACACTCTGAAAACATGAAAAATCTGATACATCACTATGTAACTTATCTTAACATGGAACAATAGTAAGCCGGTAAATACTTGTTTATGCCATATCACAGCATGACAGCAGAAACCCTTCTTTTGAAACTGCCACCATGTCATGGAGAGCCACGTAAGATAGAAATCTCCATTTGATGCAGCGAAAATAACCAAAAAGAGAAAGTACACTCTCTCTACAAGTGAATTTTCTTCCATGCCAACCTTTTTCTTTTCTTTTTTATTTTTTCACCAAAAAACATCCATCTTACATGAGACGCCCCTCTTCCTTTTAAAAGTTCTCTACACTAAAGATAACCTCTTACTGTCACTTTCCAGAAAACAAACATTCTCATTCTATAACTAAAAGACAACTCACCTTTTCTTAAGATGACTTCCCATTACCTGTAACTTCCTAAAAGAGAAGATATACCTCCTATCTTTTTTTTTAAAAGTTGCTAGCTATTAATAAGATATACCTCCTATCTTAAAACAAACTCGCTAAAAATTCAAAAACGAACCTATTCCTTTTCTAAGGATAAGATAAACCTCTCTAAACTAAAAACGCACTCTTAAAGAATAAAACCAAAAACAAGTTTTTCCTAAAATAACAAAACGTAACCCTAAGCCCAAAAATGAACAAAATTCCTAACAATTGACCCATAAAAAATAAAGGCATAATTAAGCCCCCTAGAATTGAGAAGAATGAAAATATTGAATCCATCATCTCTTGATCTGCATCATTCTCCCCTAGTTGGAGAAAACCCACCCTCAAGATTTGAGATGAGCTAGGATGAATCCTGCCTTAAACCCATGATATTTCTTTAACCATTGAAGGTCTTTTCACGATCCTTAGAACAATATTCAAACTTTTCCATCTCTAGATACACGACGACTCGATAGGATACGTGCTCATCATCAATATTTTTATTAGTGGAATAAGATGCACCTTCATCATCAACCGTCACACGTTTCCTATAATTCTTGATCATATTCTCAAATACCTCATATGTTGCATTTCTAGTCATCCCACTTTGTGCCTCCTCCCTCAACTTATTTACTTCTTCCGTTGAAATCTCCATAGGCTCCTACATTCATGTCAACATTTTGCTTCTCCATATCTCCATTCATGAGGAAATTAGATATCCTTGCTGCCTCAAGGCCAACTTCTTTTATTTCATATTGTTCTTCATAAAAAATAGAACCTTCATCAAAGATAGGGTCACCCATGACATCAAGGAATGATAATTCCAATTGAAGATCCAATCCTACTTGTTCTCCTTCAATAATGCTCTCATTGATGCCATCGACATCGAACACATCTATGGAACTGGACACATTAGCATTCCACTCCTAATCTGAGTTGAACACTTATTCATGTCATTCTCCATAAAAACCCTAGCGATTTGGATCTATCCCTATTAGTTTCCTCTTTGTTTAGGGCACATTCTTGCTATTCTCGTTTGCACAACAGTTGAGTGACTTTCACGGGTCAAGTTGTTGATTTCCTTGAGTAATCAAATTAGATCGGCATTGCTACGGCTAAGACCTCCACGACCAGCCATCGCAATCTCCAGTAGTCTTCGAATCTTCGAACTATGCTCTGATACCAATTTGATGCAACGAAACTAACCAAAAAGAGAAAACACCAATCTCTCTCTCTCTCTC